TGTTGTGGGTGAGTACTGGATTTTTTAATTGACGATCTCGTTTGCAAATTTCATGTTTATTCTGATCGCTGTTATCCATTAAAGCTTTAATTAAGGGAACATTCATATGCCGCTTCCACAATTCGCTAAACTTCAGAAACCTAAACGTTTCTGAAGTTTGAATTGAACTCATATTATACAATCTATTTTCACTTTAAAAACTTATGAATATATCCAATCAGAAGGGAAAATGCGTGTTGAATACAATTTGTGACTTCCGCCAACAGTTGAAGTGTCTCCTCGACACATTAGGGCTTTAGTAAGAATTCTCCTCACATCTTTCTTAATTACTTCTCGCATGCACAACACTCTCCACCAACGAAACCAGACGTACGTTGAGTCGAAGATTTTCGGTGTCCGTTAATATTCCATTTTTATCGCTGATAATAATAACAGCAGCGAATACAGTGTCATTGATATCCAAATTTCAGTGTTGACGGTGTTTGCTGTCGTTTCTATGGTTTAATACTTAACTTTGATGGTTTCAAACGTGGTCTCCTGTATATATTCTTCTCGATTTTTTGTTTCCTACCATCGTTCAACAACGGTTACACGATTGCTGCTGGTCAGTCGTGCCACTAGTCGTTCAGTTAGAATCCTAATCATTCCAATATTTGACCTTCATCAGTCCGACACCATTAATGATATTGCATACTTGGAGAAAGCATATTTATCCTCTCGTTAAGGATATTTTTTGAATTTTTTTAGCCTCAACATAATTTCAGGATGTTTCTTGGTAGTGACAGCAGCGCTTTACCTGGCAAAGCCATTACAAATGAAGAAAGCACCCACCTATACGATCGACCCAACCGTACGTATTTCACCCAATAGCGCAAGCGCTCAGGTTGCCGATCCTACAGTATATGGCTCATAAACGGAGAGAATTTATTTCTGTTGAAATAAGTTCGACCCACATAAGTTGGGTTTTTGCTGTGTGTTTGAATTATGAAACGGTGTTATTGTTATTCAGATAACGAATACCAGTTCCATTTTGACGTGATTTATCACCAGCATAATGCATTCATGAACCTTTTCAGCGCTTTTAATATCAGTGGGAACTTCACGGAGGGTATTGCTTCGTACTGTTCTTCCAAGCTTTCAATTTATCTTATTATTAAAGATTCATGTTTCGTGAGAGTTAACGCTCGATACGATCTTACTTCGAGTTGTTCGTCTTTTTAATTACTGAGTGAATTCAGATATTCTATTGTTTAAATTTCAAGCCCGATACTTCAGGGCTGTGTTTCATTTTTGTTTCTGATCGCTTCTCGTTGGAAGCAAATTGTGTTTTCAATTTGGTAAATGAGTTTTCAAAATATCAGGCTGACAGTCCGATATGCTACTCTAAATTATCGAAGTGTGTTTGCTGCAATATTGCTTGTTCTTGACTCCTGATTTTTGAAAGTTTTCAAAAATAGTATTATGTATTTTGAAATTGTTCTTCATGTTATCTGTGATAATATCGCAATGCTTTTGATCATCATTGTACTATGACCAATTACTGGATATTTTCAATGTTAGTGAATTTGAGTTATTCTTTTGCTCGTGAATGAAATCATTTGAAGAAAATTTAATTTTATATCTTCAGTTATTTTTTGTCCCATATTCCGTTCATCTCGTTTTCTCGATCGCTATCGTTTGTTTGAATATCTTCTGATTTGTTGTTTCATCCTCCATTTCCACATAATTCTTTGCTTTATCCGCTCAAATTCTCATCTGTTCTTATTTTTCTGCAATAATTTCCGAGTCTAAGAAAGATTTCAATTTCTATTTTTCTGATTTCAAAACAAATTTTATGCACTCATGTTGATAATTCTATCCTTCCGTGGACGATTATCTATCATTTCTTGAGTTTGATATATTTCATTTGTAATCGTATTCGCCTATCAGGGATACCATATTGATCGAAGTTCTAACAATGCGCCTTTCAGTGTTGATATTTGCGTTTTTGTGATCAGTATCTTGTGATAATAATGTATTTCCCTTCGAGCGTACTGCTTAAATGATTCGTCTAATAATTTTTTGCTCATCATAATATTTGTTTCGATTATTTAAGCTTCGTAATACAACTTAACCGTTTTCATGAAGCGTCCACATAATATGGATGCAAAATTTTCAACTCATCAACAGTTACGTCGGTTACCAAAGGGTTTTTCTTTCAAATACTTTCTGAGGTTACTGACTGGGCAAAAACACGGAACCCTGTCTGAGCTGAACGTTACACATCACTGAAACAGCTACAACCTTGTGTTCTGTTAGTAGTTTCGTGTTTATTTCAACCTGACCGAGACTGTTTTGCTGATAATCAGCCTCAAGATATAGCACAGCAAATGCAACAGCTACAGTAGGATTTATGTAAAGGGTAAACAACAAGTACTGCATGTTATGCATGTAACGATACTGTAACGAAATGGCAGTATCGTTACATGCATAACTTTGATGAATAAAATGATGAAGATGATGAATAAAATGATGAATGTGTGGAATTATGCGCATTTTGATAAGTATCTAAAACGAATTGCCGAAACAACTCAAGGTAACTCGTCTTAATTACTTATCAAAATGCGCATACTTCACAGAGGTTTCTCGCATATTATCTGACAATGGCCTGCTCGCCTAGCCAGCGTCAGGGGTGGCGTCAATCAAGGCTAAAACAATGCGAAAGGAGGAAACGCGAGCATTGTGGCCAGCAACGTTACGAACGCTTGACGGCTTGGCCAATCCACGTAATCCATGTATTTCAACGTAAATATCATCAGATAACAAACACCATTGGTAACCTAATATCTATCATTAAAAAACGATAATAATAATGATAATAATAATAACGATGCGAAGAAGAACATGACGGAGATGTAGAATAGTGTAAACAAAAGTTTGAACTTTGAATAAAACGATTTAGAATCAAGTTTGTAAATTTATTCGGAACGTTATCCGAGGGTCCTTCTGAAGATGTAACCATAACAATGACATCATTTACAGCTAATCTTCTATGCTGTGTGGTTCATAGGGTCAGTGTGGTGCTCATAAAGTTCATTTCACTCGTAACGGCGCGTAATATTTAAATTTGAAAATGAGCGGACACTGTGCTGGTTATGAAATGAGAAATTAATGTGAGATATGGAATCGAGTTCAGTGAGAAATTAAATTATCTGGTCTAAATGTTTGATTAGTCTTGTCAGGGTGACGGTTGAGCTGATAAGGTTGTCCATAGGGAAGGATTGGTGGTATTTCGAAATTTATGTTGTGATAACATCTCCGATCAAAATTCACTTGGTCAACATGAGATTAAGCTCAGTTTTAGTTAAGAATTAGGAAAGGGTCAGTGTTAGACCTGACGAAGGAGCATTGCCTGGAGCTTAACGTTTAGTAATTACGCCTTTAGGGGAGCGCACAGTTTATCTGTTATTCGTTTCAATGTTGTCTGCATCATTTCGTGATGTGTTGATCTCAGCGGACGGTTTTGAGTGGTTCGATTCGATTATATGTGTCACTTTACAGACTCTGTAATATTATTGGATTGAACTGAATTTGACTTAAAATGGAATTTCAATTTCATTTCATTTCTCTTGTGGTTGTTCATTTCTTTTTGTGTTTTCTCAATTGTTTCTGAACATTTGCAAAGGTAATCTTCAGGTGATTTCGCAATCGTTCATCAATTGACGTAGTGTGATTCTTGTCGAAGATGGAAGATCCACTGGATGTGATTAGCGCTGATAAGGAGAATGAACGGAGAATGAGCATCGAGAGAATTTACCAGAAGAAGTCTCAGCTTGAGCATATCCTTCTGCGACCTGATACGTACATTGGATCCGTAGAATACACAGACCGAGCGGTGAGTTTTTCCAATCAAATGCAATTGAATTTGGTTTCTGATACATTCTGAGATTGTCTGATCTCCACTGTAATTAGTTCATTTGGACTAGAACTAGACCTTTTTAGAAATTAAAAATAATTGAGTGGA